CCCCCCCCCCCCCCCCCCCCATATAAAGTAAAGGAGGGGGCTGGACTCTAAAATCTCCTAAGTTCCGGGCCGGCCTGTGGCTCACTGAGGAGAGTGTGGTGCTGATAACACCAAGGCAAGGGGTTTGGATCCTATATAGGGATGGCTGGTTAGCTCACTGGCTGAGCATGGTGCTGACAACACCAAGCCAAGGGTTAAGATCCCCTTATCAGTCATCTTTTAAAAAAAATGAAAAGTAAAAACTAAAAAAAATAATAAAATTTCTAAGTTCCCTTCTAGCTCTAAATTGTGCTCATTAGGAATTAGTTTATGCTTCATAGGTGTTTATCATTTTAAAAGAGGGTCACGGTAAGAGGAACTCCACTGTCTTTCTACTGGTGGAGTTTCACAGCTCTTTGGTACCTGCTAAAGATGGCACTGTTCTGGTGAACCTTCCTAGTGCCTACCAGACTACCTGGACCTAAGGAATGGGGTGGGGGTGTCATGAACTACGACAGTACAATAGTGGGTGGGAAAATGGATATTGGCCTTGTCTATGCAGAGGTCTGCAAAACATCTTACTGAGAATTGGGGAGGAGTAACTTCAGAAACTTGAGGCCAAGGAAAACAGAAGACAGATGAATTAGCTCCTTAGAACTCAAGACCCCACCTCTGCCCCTGCTCTTTATCTATTCTTATTTATTTTCGTTTGGTGGCTGGCGGTATGGGGATATGATCCCTTGACCTTGGTCAAGGGTGTTAACAAAGCTGTACTCTAACCGACTGAGCTAACTTGCCAGTCCCCACTCTAAGTGGCATTTGATGGCCAAGAGGCACAGTTAGGGCTCTGGGAATGCCCAGCTTAATGGTCTTTTCTATTGGGAATCTTTAGTGAACAAATACTTCTTGGTTTCAACACCCCCTAGTGTCTGTTGACAAGAAATGGGTCAGTTTGCCTTCTTGAAAAAGACAAAACAACATTTGTCTCCAGAAATAACTGTGTGGTTATAATTGAAAGGCCAGTAAATGGCTCCATTGTATTCTGATTGTCAGAATATAGTTCTCCCTCTGAGCAAGAAAAATAAATGTTCAGAACACTCTTCTGCAGCACTCAATCCAAACCCAATTAGGAAAGCTCTTTGTTTATCCAGATAATTTCTCATTTTGGACCAGACCAAGAGAAATTCAAGGGAATGAAAATAATAATCTGGATTGGCCAAAATTCAGTAAAAAAAATACATTTCCTTTATTCTTTCAGGTGAGGAAAAGGTCCAAATGAGAAAAACCCTTGGAAAGGATGCTGAGATTTTGACCAGATCTCAATTCCAACCTATACAAAGGTATGGGCTGTTATTATTCTATTCACAGTTTCAGACTCATAGAAACAATGTTAATGGTGATAATGCTCCATATTTATATATTGCTTATTTTTAAATGTATTAGCCACTGTCTTATAAAAATTAGCTTTGGGAAGCTTAGCTTTGTTAGACTTGTTGAACAGAATTTGAGGAGTACTGAAAAGGAGTTATTACCTGTATTCATGTTGCTTTGCCTCATATGGATTTATCACTTCTCTTCCCCTGGGTGACGGAGATGCAAAGCATTACTCAAAGCCAATTTCTTCCAAGCAGTGAGAGACCCTGAAGGGGTTAATCTCCCGGAACCCTCAAGAGAGAGACATTCCTTCCTTCCTTGGGAAATTAACCAGGGGTTCTTTCCCTGCATTTATTCTCCAGACCAGGAAGTTACAGGAAAAGAACATAGGTGGGGTTATAGCTAAGTATAGTTTAACAATATAGGCTGGTAACATCAGTAAAACAAGCAAAGTGACATTCCATAATGCAATTTGCAAAAGATTAAGTCAATCCACCAACAAAAGGTTGATCAAAAGGTTAAGTTGATCCACCAACAAAAGCTTGATCTTAGCAATCACTGTTTTTCCGTACAGCAATTTCCCCAATGTTTTACATATCAATCAAGTAACTTGTCTGTCCTTGAGCCAGCAACTTTGCTGTGTTACAAAGACTTTAGCCTGAGGAAAGTTTCCTGTCTTTTGCAAGGTTAACATTTCTATATGTAATTCCCAAAGGTTAGGCTAAACCTGAGACTACAGGGCTTTGGAAAATAGGCCCAGTGAAATACATTTGCTTTATAAATGTTAGTATATTCCACATATTCAGATCACACTCTACTTTTCTATCCATCTTACTGACCTTAGTTAAGGTTTTCAGCCTCTTTATTCTATTTTCCCATCTGTAGCTAAGAATCCTTACGAGGAATGTCGACATAGGAATTGAAATAATAATTTAACTCATGGGCATTTATCCCAGAGAAATGAAGACTTGTGTTCACACAAAAACACATACATGAATATTTATAGCAAACTTATTTGTAATAACCCCAAATTGGAAACCCTGATGTCCTTTACCAACTGAATGATTAAACAGACTGTACCATGGAGTACTACTCAGCAGTAAAAAGGAATGAAGTATTGATGCAAAAACCTGGATAAATCTACAGAGAATTATGCTGAATGGACAAAGCAGTCCCAGAAAGTTATTTACTGTGTGATTCCATTTATGTAATATTCTTGAAATGACAAAATTATAGAAATAAAGAATGGATGAGTGGTTGTCAGGAGTTAAGGAAGGGGTGGGGGAGGGATGAAGTAGGCCTGGCTATAAATGAGCAACATGAGGGATCCTTGTGGTTGTCGGACTGTTCTGTATCTTGACTATATTATTGTCAATATCCTGGTTGTGATATAGTTTTATAGATTTGTGAGATGTTACCTTTGGGGAAACTAGGTAAAGTTTATTTCTTACAACTGTGAATCTATAATTACCTCAAAATAAAAGTTTAATTAAGAAAACTAATAATAGGGTCGGCCCGTGGCTCACTTGGGAGAGTGTGATGCTGAAAACACTAAGGCCACAGGTTTGGATCCCTATATAGGGATGGCTGGTTAGCTCACTCGGGAGAGCGTGGTGGTGACAACACCACGTCAAGGGTTAAGATCCCCTTACTGGTCGTCTTTAAAAAAAAGGAAAAGAAAACTAATAATAGATGTAAAGTGCCTGACATGCATTCAATTCACCTTGCCTTGTCTGGTCCTCAGTTTCTTTAGTTATGATTAGTATTCCCTAAGCATCTAGCACCCTGTTTTATTGTTTAACTCACATAACAACCCTCTGAGATAACCCATACTGTTATCTTCATTTAGCTAATAAGAAAAGCAAAGTTCAGGCTGGCCAGTTGCTTAGTTGGTTAGAGCATGGTGTTACAACAGCAAGGTCAAAGGTTTGGGTGCCTGTACTGTCCAGCCACAAAGAAAAGAAAAGTTGAGTTTAAGTATTTTTTCCTAAGGTCACACAGCTAGTCAGTCAGGATAGACTAGATTAAGTTGCATAACAAACAACCCCCAGATTTTAGTGGTTTAAAACAACAAAAGTTTGTTTCTTGCTCATGCTCCATGTCCATGACTTATGGGTTGGCCAGGGGTGTTATATGCTATATTACCTTCTATCAGAGACCCAGGCTAAAGTAGGCTCCGTCTTTGTGCTTCCTTGATTGCTGAACCATGAAAGATGGTAAACTGCACTGGTTCTTCAAGTTTCTGCCCAGAAGTGACTCATCACTTTCATTATATTTCACTGGTTAAAGCAAGGCATGTGGCCATTTATGTAAGTTAAGGAGGCCAAAAAGAACTGTTCTACAATGTACTTGGAAGGAGAAATAAACATTTTGATGAACAGAATAAAGTCACAGCTAAACCCCAAATCCATGCTCTTTCCTTTGTACCATTGGTCTTATAGGATTAAAAATGTGAAAACGTACGGAAGAATTTAGCATGAAATCTGGCTTACAGCTAGTGTTCAGTGAATATTGAAATTGAACTTAAACATTGGTTAAAGTAGGAAAAGATCAAATTCGTCTTCAGTATTCTCTTCTGGGCATTTTTTGGCCACGCTGCTTTTGGCCTCTCCTGCTACTTTACACCAGGAAGCTGTCTCATAGTGGCTCAGTCCTCATGGCTGTGCCCCTTGCTCCACCATTCACCTCCCAGCAAAGTTCCTGTATGCTGTTGATTTTCTCAGGAACTTGCTCACTGTCAGATAGAGTCACTGGCTGATGTCAGAGTTGGGCTGACCCTGTGAGTGTATTTATTCAATCTCTGGAGAAGAAATTGAGGCCCAGACATGGCAGAGAACTTCTGGCTAGTTAGTAGCAGAGCCAGAATCAGAAATCATACTTTACTTCTGAGCTTAGTGCCCTTTCTGCTGCCTAACACTTGTACCAAGTTAGTACATTTTGCTGACAGAGGGGATTCATATAATTTTCTTACTTTCTCTCTCACAGTACTGAAGGTGAGCAAGAAGAGACATTAAAGGAGACACCAAAGGACCTGAAAGAAAAAGACATGTATGGCCACTGAAGAGTTGCCTAAGGATACTTGTGTAAAGTCTTGGTTTTATGGGAATAGTATTTCCTTGTTTGTAAGAATACTTTCATTCCATTTTTATGTGCAGACTTAATGTGAGTTTGTTTCTTCTTTCACCAAAAAGCTGTTATTAAATCAATAATGTGATTTGTAATTAATAGCATCTTACAATCAAGGAAATACAGTGATAATAATATGTTTATACTTGAGGTAGATTAAATCTGTTTTCCACAGAAATATCATCTATGGACATAGCTGAGATATTTTTAAAGAAGTATGTCTTTTTAAGATATTCTCTAATATTCTCTTTAAGATATATAAGATATTCTTAATTCTGGTCTATTGCCAAATAAAGATTTTGTCAAGAGCATACTTCAAAAGTACTCAGGAATATTTTTGTAAGCATCTTTTTGCAATTACTGTGTGCTCTTCTCTTACTTTTTTAGATCATTGACAGACATTCAAGACCTGTCTAGTATCTCCTGTGAACAAGACGGCTCTTTTAAGGAAGCCTCATGCAAAACACCCAAAATGAATCATGCACCTACTAGTGTCAGCACTCCGCTCAGCCCAGGTAAACACTCACAGGCAGAAGCAGCATTTTGGGAGAGGAACTTACAGTTTCTGCTTGTTGGCTCTGGGAAGCCAGGCCCTGGGGTCAGTCCTAGTGGCTGTTTTTTCACATTGCAAAGGTGTTTCCTTAGGGCCAAAGCTGAAGGAGATAATTTCATGGGAGGCAGGTAAGAGGGGTGGTGGTGTTGATTATTAAGCAGCTGTTAGGAAGTTTTGGTTAGGACCACAGTGGTAGAGACCTGCAAATGCAAAGTCTACTCTGTACCCAAAGCACTACTGAATTTAGCGCAAAAACGTTGGATTCTCTAGAGTATGCAATATAGAGAACACAGGTACCATGAACATAAACATAGTTCTTGCATTCTGCAATCATGTGCAACCAGCATCAGATACCCTCTCTCTAATGTCCTTATTTCCTGTATATTTGTGGCTTAAATAATCTCCCTTTATTTTATTTTGATGGCCAAGTTTAGAGACTGTTATTTTTATTTATTTATTTTTTTGGCAGCTAGCCAGCATGGGAGGTCTGAACCCTTGATGTTACCAACACTGTGCTCTAACCAACTGAGCTAACTGGCCAGCCCAAAACTGTTATTTTTTATATCTTTAGGATCTGTTTTTCAGATCAGTAATTATTTCAGTTACTAACAATTCAGAAATTCCCTGGTATAGAGTTTTTTTTTTTTTTTAAAGATGACCGGTAAGGGGATCTCAACCCTTGGCTTGGTGTTGTCAGCACCACGCTCAGCCAGTGAGCAAACCGGCCATCCCTATATAGGATCCGAACCCGGGGCCTTGGTGTTATCAGCACCGCACTCTACCGAGTGAGCCACGGGCCGGCCCCCCTGGTATAGAGTTTTATGGATTTTTTTTTTTTTTTTTAATAATGTAAAGGATTCAGAAACTAACTGCCCTCTTTTTTACAACAGGGTCAGTTTCTTCAGCTGTCAGACAGTATGAAGACTGCCTTGAAAGTAGCACATTTCAGGTTAAAACCTCTTGCTGGAACAGTCAAGAATCTATTCAAACTCTCTTTGATAAATGTACAACTGTTCGAGAAAAAGCAAGGAGTCTGGATTCTCTGTTTACTGCCTCTGAAACTCCCCCTTCAAGACTGACTGATCTTGTAAGTATACCAATTCTGTTTATACACTCATGGAGTCAGCTCAAAGGGCTCAATGATCCAAAGTGCCAAGATTTCTCCAAATCTCTTAAGAATGGGAGAAGTAAGCTAGATCCTCTCCAAAAAATAAATAAATAAAATTTAAAAAAAAATAAAAAAGCTAGATCCTCTCCACATTTCCCTGGGGTTCCCCTCCTGAGTCTTTATTGTAGAAGACTTAAGTTTTGCATCCTCCTTGCAGCCTCCCTTGGTTACTTCCCTGAGAGTTTTGATTGACTTCCTGCTTCTCTGAATTCCTGATCTAGTAGCCTGCAGGAAAGCACTTAATTATGTACTACCTCCTTTATCTCCTCCTCATCGCCCCCTCTTCTTGTTTTTCTTTCTTTTTCTCACCCTCTCTCATATTTCTGTGGACAGATTTGATTATTTGCTTTGGCCCTAAATGGAAAATTGATTGTCAACTTCTTTCGGCATTTGGCACACAAAAGGTCTCACTCTAAAGTAGGGAAACAGAAAGGAATTTTATGCTTTCTTTTAACAGTCTGTTAATTGGGCAGGTTCCAATTGCCAGGCACCGTGTAAGGCCCTCTTCTAGGCATCCTAGTGTGAATAAGAAAGACATAGTCCCTGCCCCTAAGGAGCTTATTGCCTAGTGAGAAAGACAGGACTGATGTAACACAGAGGTGGTAAGTATTGAGGGCTGAGGGGGGCAGAGGGGTGAGAAGGCATCCCAGAAGAGGTGACATGTGGATAAGTTTGACTTAATTAGCAAAACAAGTGGAAATGATTGAGTTGCATGTGCCATTTTTGGTCAACACATGTGTCAGTTACCATGTTTCTGTCTTACTTATAGAAAAGGTTGTCTGCATTTACTGGGGCTGATTCCTCCAGCATTGCTAAGGCGTCTGACACACCACTCCCTATCACCCAGAAAAGATGCCTGCCTAAAGGTACCCTGTATGTAATACCAAAGTAGAGGTTCATAATGGTAAGCCAATTTAAGGGAGGCTTAAATTGATGCACATCAGTCTTCTATGCTACTTTATTTATTTATTTTTTAAATTTTTTTATTTTTTTCCTTTTTGTCTTTTCGTGACTGGCAACGGATCGCAACCCTCAGTGTCGCGCCCGTACCGGACCGGGACCGGCCACGGGATCGCAACCCTCGGTGTTGCCCCCGCCCCTCGCTCAGCCAGTGAGC